GAAGACGTTGACTTTGAAGGTCTCTTTCTTTGGAGGTGATGATGGCCTCAGTGGAAATGGTGTCCAGGATGGGAGCCGTATTAATTTGGTGTGGACGATGTATGTTGCGTAAGGATAAGCACATCTTAAAAAGGGATACCATCTTCCATGTACAGGAGACCAATTTATTTTTCTTTTGCCCCAAAATACACCCCCCACCGGCCACAGTGAGAAGCACTGGCATTCTGTGGGCCTGTGCAAAGCTCTGCACATTTGACTTTTCAAAAGTTGCTTTTATTGTTTATAGGTCCCCCCCCCCCAAGGGTAAGAAGGTCTCCAAAACTTATCCCAGCAAGTGGCTATGAGAGTGCTTGCTTTCAAGGCACCAGATAGAATTGCCACAAAAAGTAATTAGGCACCAGACAATTAGGCCATACTCTACATAAGTGCAGCATTTCATGCCAGCGTGTTGGTGGAAGATTTATGCAAAGCAGAAACACGGGCGTCCAGCTCCACCTTTGTAATAAAAGAGTGTTTTACAGAGTGTTTTACAAGTTTTGTGAAGATTCTTATTGGTGGTCATCTTGCCCTAGACAGGAATACACCTCTGTAATATCCCATTGATCAAGATGCCAAAACAGAAATTTGAACCTACCACGAGAGTTCCTTTATTCAGAGGAATGGAGGACCTCTTTGATCCACCCTGTATTTAAATGCGGTAACTTTTTGACCACCAAAGAATAAGTAGAATGACTGCCATTAAATTGTTTGTCCTGTCCTCTGTACTGTTATATTTACTTTTCTTCACTGATATCCTTGTAGTTGGCACTCTTGTCAGCCCTTTTTCTTTGGTTATGTTATGTTATGGTTAGGTTCAACTGTATAGTTCTGTCACTTATAAGGTGACCTAGTGACAATCTCTGAAATCGTTTATGAAAGTCTCTGAGCTGGAGAAAGATGCCTCCCAGTGAGCGGAGCAGAAAGCCACAAGATTGGCCCCTGCCTCTGAATCGTGATTGGAAGTGCAACCCATCTTTATCAGACATGCCATCCATATCTCTTTGATGGTAAGCACAATATTCCTTTTCGTGCTAGCGAGACAGTTCTGTGGGCTGTTGAACAGGCAGTAGAGTAGACCTGTATGAACAGAAGATGAGGACCCCAGAAAAGCCATTGCTTGATTGGTCACCTGTGCACTTCCCACCGGGCAGCTCCTTTTGGGACTGACTTCTTCTCACTGCCTTTAAGCCCTGTGGTCACTGGCGGGGCTGAGAGGGAGGCCAGAAAGCTGCTCTTTGCTATTCCCCAGGTGCTCTTCCAACAGGAAACAGGAGATCAGTCCAGAAGCCTTTGGGGTTGTAATGTCTTCTAGGCCAGTCTCTTATTACCCATGGCCTTCCTTTTTGGCCCTGCGAATGCCAAGAGGAATTAAGGGAGGAGCCATGGAGTATCTGCTCTGCATGCAGAAGGTCCTAGGTTCCAAAGTTAGCTTTTCCAGGTAAAAGGATCAGGTAATGGGTGAGATGAAAGACCTCTCCCTGAGACCCTGCAGAGCTGGTGTCAGTCAGAGCACACAATACTGATCTTGATAGACCCAAGTGTCTGACTTGGCACAAGTCAGCTTTGCGAGGGAGTAATGATCCAGTCTCTGCTTCCGCCTGATATGGATTGTTTGCACACAGCCAAGTGAGGACTGCATGCTTAAGTGGGGGTGGGATTGCTCTGAGGGTCATCTTACCTTCCCTTGTCTTCTTTTCTAGAGGCAAATTCCACCCCCTCCCACCTTAAGTGCGGCACCCAAATGAGTTACTCTTAAGGCATCCTGTTTATCCAGATTCGAAAGTGCAGCTTAATGATGATTTTCAAGACCTGGATAATTGGAGTGGTGGAGACCCAGAGAGGGTTTGATGAACTTCCAGGGGCTGCTGTTGGAATGTAGGACTAAGTGAACCTTTGGTGTGATGTAGCGAGGCAATTGTTATGTTTTTAGGAGTCTGAAGAGCAGACAAACCATTTTCTTAGCACTTGGCATTCCCTAGCTCTGTTTTCATGGCTTCTCTTAGCCTCTGGACTCATCCTGGGACCAGTATTAAGTCCCCTTCCACTTTTTACACATCTTAATACCCTTTTCCTATCACTCTTCCCAGTCCCTATTCAACCCAGCTTCTCTCTCAGTGGCCAGGGAGATGTACTAATGGTGTTCGCTTTTCTTTTGATTTAAAAATGCTAGATGAGTATTTTAAATCAATAAAGATGACAGAACAGAATAGCTTCACTTCTAAAGATTTCACATAATATTAACTTCAGTATGGCACAAACGTCTGGTTGTCAGGGAGAAACACTTTTGTTCTCTGGCATTACTGACACTGCTCACTGTATGCCCATGGGAGTTTTTGTCCGAAAACATAATCTTGCAAGTTCCCTGCAAAGTCTGAAAAGTATTTCACTGAAGAGAGTACAATTATTGTGGGGCGGGGCGCTAGAAATGGGACTTGGTGTTATAGCCTCTGCCTTTTTGTCTGAGGTTATTTCCTGAGATTCTTTCTCTCCCAGTATTAAGAGTAAATCCTGACATTCTTCATCTTTTTTTAAATCCCAACAGGTGATTTTAAGTATTCGTTTCCCATGTGTGGCAAAGGTTTTATTCTGAAATCAACTCTGGAGACTCAGAAGTCTTCCAAGAAATGAGTCTCCCTGGCCACTGTGTGACAAAGTTACTGGGAAGTCAAGCCTACAGAAAAAAGGAAGTCTTTGAATGGGTTGTATGCAGGGAAAGGTTCTCTCTTGTACAAAATTAGAGAACTTGTACAAAAAGTTAGCTTTGTGGCATCAAATCTGTACCATTAATGTAGAAGAAAAATATTAAAGTAGGGTTTGCAGAAAGAACATAATTTTCTGTGGTTGGCTATCAGGATAAAGCGGCAAATTCCCTTGGAAGTGGAAAAAGTGTGTCCACATGGGTGCATTTTCACACCCTGCTTCACCTTTGGTCCTAATCTTCCATTGCATGTGCCTGTCACTTGGTGCCTCTTATTGCTTGCCTGTATAGTCACTGAAGGCAGAATTACCTGGTGATGGCTCTTCTTTCTAGACCTCAGTATTTGACATGATGTTTCACTTGCTGTTTTCCCAGCCAGTTTAGGGCTGCAGTGGTTAAAACCATCAGCCTGCACATTCTAAGTCACAAGTTTGTTGCTGAATAGGTTGTGGTTTTGTCACAAAGATAGCTTTGTCACAAGTTGACATCTTCGATAAGGAGGGAACACAGGTGAAACAGCTAGGCTAGCAGAAGGTACTTTGTGTCAAGCATTGTAAAGGTAAAGGTTCCCTTGCTCGAAAGCCAGTCGCATCCGACTCTAGGGTTGCGGTGCTCGTCTCCGTTTCAAAGCCGAAGAGCCAGCGCTGTCCGAAGACGTTTCCGTGGTCATGTGGCCGGCATGACTAAACACCAAGGCGCATGGAACGCTGTTACCTTCCCACCAAAGTGGTACCTATTGATCTACTTGCAATTTCTTGCTTTCAAACTGCTAGGTTGGCAGGAGCTGGAACTAGAGATGGGAGCTCACTCCATCATGCGGCACCCGGGTCTCGAACTGCTGAACTACTGACCTTCCACAGCCTGCAGTTCAGCATCTTAACCACTTGAGCCACCGCAGCTCCTACAAGCATTGTACGTGAGCTTTTATTGGTCCAGATCTATCTCCCAAATGATGAACCTTTTCTTTCAGGGGAAGGGCAACCCTGAATATGGCTGAATATGATGACATTCAATCATCTGGACTGACCTTTCTTTGTCCTTGTCCAACCCAGTGCTAAGAGCTCAACTATACAAGACACTGGGAATGGAATTCCCGTGTGTGTCTGTGTAAAAATCAGATGTTCATGTGCTAATACTTCTTTGGACCATGGTGCAAGGGGGAGAAGGATCAAGCCTCCCCCCACTGTTTTCCTAACCTGAAATTGCCCTGTGGAGGCACTCTGTGTCATGTTGGAGTCCTGTTGGGGCTCCCAGGTGTCTGACACAGGTGGAACCTCCTAACATTTTGAGATTGGCTCCAGCTCCAACGGCAACCATTTTTTGTGGCTGCAACTTTCTGAAAACTGAAAAATGGACACAAAACTGAGCACACCCTTAGTAACCAATGCTGTAATTAATAAAATACAGCGGATTTTATAAAATACAGTTCTGTTGGTACGGAAGCACTGGACAACTATGTGCGCATAATTCACAGCAGAAAGAAGACTGGCATTGTTAGGCTGATATTGTTGGATTTGATGTGATTTGATTTCCATCCCGCCCTCCCTGCAAGTGGGCTCAGAGTGGTTTACAACATATAAGGAAACAATACCAACCTTAAAATATCTACTAAATCATCATACTAAAACCATAAAACACAGTACAAGATGGAGTTCTTAGAAGATGTCCTAATGTCCTGGTTCTGCATGATGGAAAAAAACATAAGGCCCTGAACTATGGGTTCCCATGTTGTAAACCCAGCTTAATCCAGCGTATAGCAGCTTAATCCAACAATATGACTCTTACAGTTCAGAGACGCCCTTCTGTTGTGAACCTCTAGAAACTGATTCTGAGTGTTAATAAAGAAACTCTGGGTTCCTCCAAACAGCTGCTAAAATAAGCGTAGCCTTTCATTACACAGCAGGATAACTGTTGCCTTGAATAAACTGGTACAGAAGGATATGGGCACTGGAATCTGCCCAACAAGTTGGACCTCTGCTCCATCAAGCTTAATTTTTACTCTGAAAGAAGCTTTCCAGGGTCTCAGGTGGACAAAAGCTTCCTGGGACCAAACATGGGACCTTCCACATGCAAAGAAGGCACTCTTGTCACTGAGCCACAGGCCCTTCCCACATGGATGGTGGCATTCCCAATTAAACTATCATATTATCAACAGGCAGAACTGGCTCTCCCACACCCTCAGTTCACAGAAAGCTGGATTTTATTGATAACACTGAAATTGTAAGGTTAATGATAAGTCTATTTTATTAACAGGTTTATTGGGAGGGAGGCAATTGCGTTTTTGGCGTCGGGCACAGAGAGATCTGGTTTGGCCCTCTGCAGTTACTGTATTTTTCCTGCCTGGCCGTTAACTTGCCAGGAAAACATTATACAAATCACAAAAGTATGCAGTGCGGAAAGATCCTCCTGAGCAAACAAAGGCTTCTGGGTAGTAGGGGACAGAAGAGACAAAAAGCCGTTTCCAAAGCAGACCTTATATTCCATTAAAATACTACTGCACTTTTAACAAGGCAGAGCTCAGGAGTAAGGGACTAGCAGGGAATACTCCGTCTAAGACGTATAATTTCTGCATTCCTACAAGCTACGAGCGAGCAATACATGATATTAGGCCAGCACAGAGCAATCTAACAGTTCAGAGTCGCAAAGATCCCAAGCAGGTGAGCTCAGCTGTTGCCACAGAATTATGCATGGAGAAGAATTTCTGGAGAATAATGCACCCATTTTACAGAAGAGAAACACGGAGGCTGAGTTTTGAATACAAAGAACAGTAGGTTAATATATGATAGAGCACTAAAAAGAATTAGAGCAAAGGGCCAGAGTCTGCCCCTGTCCCCCATTATAAATAATTATAAATAAAGCAGACCCTCCCCCCCCCTACTGATGTTGCAGGCAACAAATAAAGATGAAGTCTGGAAGTAGGGTGCAGGATTTGAGCTGCGGGTGGCCATGCTTGATGGTAATGGCAGGTACAGTGGCAATTGAACTACCCCTCTTCCACAATGTGTAGCAGCCCAGAAGTCACTGGTAGCTACCAAAATAGTACCTGCACTTCCTTTCCAATGGCTGCTCAGGAAACAGCAGTAGCTTCTCTTTCCTCCTTCCTTGGCATCTGTGTGCCCATAATGAGTGTGAGGTCAACCGATTGGCGAGCTCTGCCCTCCGTAACATTACCTCACTGGCCAATTTGATTGACTCTTGGACATTGTGATATCACCGTGAAAATGTAAGGAAGAAGCAGCCCTGTTTTGGTTTGGTTTTTAGCTGCACGGAAGAAGCTGCCCAGAAGGTTAGTCTCAAAGCTATCTGTAAGCCTACAAACAAACAGATCTAATCTGGAAACTAGCCAAACTGAGTGTACGAAAAACAGGCTGGTTAGCGAGGGAATACCTAGGTTGGAATGGTGATGGGGGTGGAGTGAGGGTTTCCCTTTCTGAAGTCAGCAGCACTTCAGTTTGGCCCCTTTCCATACCCGGAAAAAGGGGCAGATCCTCTCCCCAGAGAACGAGGCTGAAAGGAAAGCGAAGATCAAATTGTTTGCATCGCCATCAAAAAATTCCACGCAGCCCTTTCTGTAATCCAGGGACACTCGGATCTTCCTGAGTTTATGTCTCAAGGTCAAAGGGGTTGGCTGGGGGGAAGTAAAAGCCAAAAATTGACAGGGTGAGGAGGAGTAGCTGAATGACTGGCCCATGGCCCACAGTCCCTCATCAGGGCTAACAGGGACGAGGCCCTTCCTCCGGATTGACTCTCGCGCAACCCCCATGGCCCACCTTCCGAGGTTTTCCTCCACTTCCACCTCCCACCAATGTCTTCCTGAAGTGAACCTCTCCTGGCCCAGCACACACATCATGATATCAAATCTCTGAGGGGTGTCAGGCAGATTCTGACATCTGCTCCCCCTTCGCACACTCTTCAGATCCTCGGACAGAATGAGGAAGGGATTTGCCGTGTCTGGATCCAGAGTCGCATTCACTGCAGAAAGAGAGAAATAAAATGATTTTGTTCAAAAATGGTTCAAATCCAGATGAATGCTGTAATTCACCAAGAAAATACATACTTTTAAAAATTAAGGATGTGTTGTTTAAACCTTTTAAGAAACTACTTATTAAACAAGTACAAGGTTATTGTTAATGTATTTACAGTTATCAGTTTGTTGTAACGTCAATTATGGAATTTCAATTGAGATTTTAAATTTATTTTTTTAATTAAGTTTTAAAAAAGAAAGAAGGGTGAGTTGTGTCAAGAAAAGGATTGTGAGACCTGATTAAAACACTGGTGGTGGTATGCCTCCCCTATCAAAAAAAAAGTTTCCCATTTCCTTTTGCTCTTAGCAGTTACCTTTGTTCAGTGCTTGATTCAGCAACTCTGTTATGCAAGAGAAAAAAAATTATAAATTTAAAAGTCATATGATATATAGCAATGCTTTCCATCTAGTCTTTTTAAAAACACTATTTTAGTCCTCCCTGACATCCATTCTATCGAATTATTGGCAAGGGGCAGACATCAAAAAGACTTTCAGTGCCTGCCTTTGATCAGCGGTTGCTCTAGAGCACGGGTGTCAAACATGCGGCCCGGGGGCTGGATCAGGCCCCTGGAGGGCTTCTATCAGGCCTGCAGTGGAACTGGCTGTCTTCTGCTTCTTCTTCCAGTTCCGCTGCTGCGTCATCATAGGTTTGCAGCTTACAGATACACATCTGAAGGATTGTGACAGCACAGACATTTTGATGCAATAATTCAGAGCAAGAGGTGTCAGTTATCAGACACTGTTAAATAAACAAAATATTGCAAGAGTGCTAATGTTTTAAGCAGGTTTTTATTTTAAGTTAAAAAAACCACATTTGTGTTTGTGTCCTTTATAAAGTTCATACCTCCACTACCTGGCATATTTTATGACACGTAGCCCCGCCCAACAAGGTCTCATTTATGTCAGATCCGGCCCTCATAACAAATTAGTTTGACACCCCTGCTCTAGAGATTCTGCTGTGGGTAAAAAGGCACAACAAAAGGTGGCACATGCTGCGGTCCTAATATCAATTTCCTGGGAGTAAGCCCTACTGAATAAAATGGGGTTTATGTCTGAGCAGACCTCCTTCAGATTCCTCCCATAATTTATCATGATAGGGAAATACACAATACCTTGAACTGAGCAGTAAAATCCTTGGGTTTCAGGTCGAGAGGAACTGGTCCTCCTTTTATGGACACCAACAGACAGGACAATAATTATTTGCCCATCTGACAGGAAGCTGAGTTACACCTCTTCTAAAACCCCTAAACTTCAATGGACTCAGAAGGGTGTAACTGCTTAGGATAACACTGTTAATTATGTTGGGGTCCAATGTATTGGAAGAAGGGTGGGTGCACACTAATGGTTTAGAAAAAGACACAAAATATATGGCCATGTGATACTTCTGTCCAAAATAAACCTCCCCAAACCCAAACCTCCCCAAACCCTCACACAAAGCCCCTCATTACACTCAGCGCTTGAATGAAGACTTCGCGGAGTGAATTAATGCTTCTGTGGAAATGACAGCAGCAAAATGGAGAAGGACAAGGAAGCAGGAAGAGGGGGGAGCAGAAACTGTGTGGGGCAGTCTTTTGAAACATTTCTTTCGACAATTTAAGGAACACTGCTGAGGAAGCCAGGAATGGCCTTTCCCTGCACCCAAGCAGGTCTTTCCTTACAACCGAGCGGGCCCCTCTTAAAGATCTGTATCCTTCCCCTCCCACCCTCAATACCTTGGCAGTTCTCTATGGCTTTTGAGTGTTTCTGAGAGGAAATTCTCTGTCTCTCCTCCAGCCCTTGAGAAAATTCCACCACCTGTCTCTCTTGCCCTTCCTCATACCTGAAAGAAAGAGGGTTCAGTTCAAAAAGGAATGAAAGAGAATTGCCACCCCAGCAAGCTTTTTGACCTGAATGGGCGTGACAGACAATTACTCAAGTGTCAAGCTACTCAAGAGTAGCTGACCCAGCATGCAGGTTGAAGCTGTTTCACGCAAGCAGATTATTTTGTATTCAAAGCAGTTTTTGAAGAGAAAAGACAAGAATCTCCTGGATTATTTTTCACTGAGGAGTGAAGTCAACTAGTAGAACCCTGTTGCTCATGAGAAAATGCACATGAGAGTTCTGTATCACATTAGCAGACCTAACTGTGGTTTCTTCAGACAAGAAGTCGTTCTTGTTCAGTGCTTGGTGGGACAAAGAAGGGCAAATGGAAACCATGCAAAGTCCACTAGATCAGCCCAAGGGAGACAGCTTTGCTCAGAGGTAGAATCTTTGCTTCACACATGCAGAAGGTTGCAAGCTCAGTTAAAAGGATCACATGAACCTCCTTTACACACAGATCTTTGGCCTATCAAGGTTGGTATTGTCTAAGCTGCCTGGCAGCAGCTCTCCAGGTTAAGGTCTTTCATATCAGCTTTCAATCAGAGATGCTAGTGACTGAACCTTTAACCTTTCTGCATTCATGCCTTTGGCTCCGAAAATCAAGCGACACATAACACTGTAGTTCTGTCACTGGAATTCCTAATATTTAATGCTAAGAATTATGTGTTGGGATGGGAGGTAAAGATCAGGTCTGCAGTGTTGAGGAAGGGACTTTTCTTTGTCCTTGTATCATTTGCCCCACTGAAAATGCATCCCTTGGGCTGTTTTAAGCCCTAATAGGGGAAAAGACAGAACAACGTCTGAGTCCAGTGGCACCTTTAAGACCAGCAAAGTTTTATTCTGGATATAAGCTTTCGTGTGCATGAACACTTTAAGAAATGTGCATGCGCATGAAAGCTTATACTGAGAATAAAACTTTGCTGGTCTTAAAGGTGCCGCTGGACTCAGACTTTGTTCTGCTGCTTCAGACCAACATGGCTTAGGGTTGCCAAGTGGCACTTACCTTGCCGGCGGGGTACTCCCATTCGGATCCCGGCGTGTGCATAGAGTTTTCCCTTGTATGGCCGTGGCCCCGCCCCCAGCGTGCCCGGCGTCATAACGTCACTTCCCTGTGACGTGCACGCTGGGGCGGGGTTCCCCCCGGGGCCCGATTCCCCGGCGTCGGGGAACGGGCCTCTGGGGCGGGCAGTTTTCCACCCCCCGGGGGGGACTTGTCAGCCCTAACATGGCTGCCCACCTAAATCTAGGGGAAAAGACAGATATCGGTATTGTGCCTATTAGGGCATTTTGATTGGGAAAGGGGCCCAGATGGAATAGGGAGTTAACGCCCTCTATCCCCAGCACTACAGTCCTGATCCAAATCCGACCTTTGTGAAAACTTTGGAGCTCCAAATACATGTCTGGATTTCAGCTAAGGAACTCTGGCATCCTGTGGCCCTCAAACTATGAGGAATGGGAGCCAGCTGGAGTAGCGCACTCTGGATTGGATGGAGCAATGAGCCTGACAGCACAAGAAAGTTCAGGCCCTTCACAGGGAAAAGCATCAGGTCTCTCATGACAGATACAATAGTGGGCAAACTTTTGCAATGAAAGGCCCTTTTGGCCCATCCCAGAATGAGAAGCGTGTCAAATCGTAAGGATATAGCAATTCTCAAGCAGCACGTAAAATATTATATCAGGATCAATATGTTGTCAAAGGCTTTAACGGCCAGAGTTCATTAGCTGCTGCATATACAAAAGAACCTCCTCAGGAAAGCTCCTCTATTAGCATGTTCATAGCCTGGGGAACTCCTACAAGATAATGACTCAGCCCTACCCCATCTTCCTGAGTAGATATGAATTACCTGCCTACCATTTTTCTTCTCACCTTGACACAGACTACTCCATCTTTCTGTGTTTACCTCTGAGGATGCCAGTCACAGCTGCTGGCGAAACGTCAGGTCCTACAATGCCAAGACCACGGCCACACAACCCGGAAAATCTACAGCAGCTAATATTTCGGGATCCTTCATATTTTCCCTCCCCCTGAGAGAAGAACAAAACCCCTGTTTTTAACTGTGCTTAGCAGGGTTTACGATGGTGTTTAGAGATGAGTGGGGAACCAAAGCTCTTCCTCAGGAAGTTGAGAGGGAGATAGAACTGCATACCTGTGCATAGTGCTTCCAGCCTCCTGAAAGAAAAGAAAGAAGGTCTCAGCTGCAAAGGCACAACACAGACTGGGCTTCTGGTTCATATGGGAGTTCATTTTTTCTGGAAGCAAAGAAATCTAGTTGGATTCTATGTGCCACGGACAGCTGCTATGGGCAAAATGGCCACTCCTACAACACCCACCAGTAGTACTTTAGCAGGTGTGAGAGTCTTTGTTTGGAGTAAGAGACAGAAGGTTTTTCACACTCTCCTTATTCAATTTATTACTGTGTCCAAACTAGGGTTGCCAAGTCTGATTTTCGCCGCATCCACGTCACTCGGAAGTGACACGACCATGCCGGGCACGCTGGGGGCGGGGCCACGACCATTCAAGGGAAAACCATAGAGTTTTCCCTTGGATGACCATGGCCCCGCCCCCAGTGTGCTCGGCGTGGTCGCGTCACTTCCGGGTGACATGCACGTCTGGGTGGGGTTCCCCCCGGGGCCCGATCCGCCGCTGGCGAGGAACGGGCCCCTGGGGCGGGGGTTTCCCCACCCCCTGGGGGGATTTGGCAAGCCTAGTCCAAACAGGCCTCTCAACCTCTGGCATTGCGTTTTCTACTACCCCCAGGGGGCTGATGGAAAAACTGAAGACAAGCAACATCTGCCGGGGATAGAGGGCGTTAATTCCCTATTCCATCTGGACAAATGCATTGTCATGACAAGAATCATAAATTTAAGGCGGACAATGCGGACGTCTTTGGAGAACTTTAAAATAAAACGCATAATGGAGTACAAATTGTTGTCATGGAATGTTAATGGATTAAATTCACCAAACAAGAGGAAAAGAATCAATCATTGGATACAGAAACAGAAATGCAACGTGATATGCTTGCAAGAAACACATATTAGAAACCAGGATATAAAATATTTAAAGAATGCTTTATTTGGAATTGAATTTTGTTCTGCGGCCTCAAATAAGAAAAAAGGGGTTGTGACATATGTGAAGAAGGAGTTACAACCTACAGAAATTTTTAAGGACATAGATGGCAGATACGTGGGTGTGGAATTAATGATTCAGCAGAAAAAAACATTGTTGATCAACGTGTACGCACCCAATGGAGCAAAGGAAAAATTTTTTAAGGATATAACTGACCAATTACAACAATTGACTTATGAGCAAGTTATTATGGCCGGAGACTTTAATGGGACAATAGATCGTCTAGACAGAAAACCACAAAAGGACAACGAATTCAGCGGAAAACTGCCAAAGAATTTTTTTGAATTAGTTAAGCAAGAAAAATTAGAAGATGTTTGGAGGAAATGGAACCCGATGCAGAAAGACTTTACTTTTTATTCCAATAGACATTGCTCTTTTTCCAGAATTGATATGATTTGGATGTCTGAAGAATTATCAATGAAAACACATAAGACTGAAATTTTGCCAAGATGTAATTCAGATCACAATCCGGTGGTATGGAGTTCCACAGAAAGGAAAAAACCCTTTCTGTGGAGGATTAATGAAGACTTGTTGGATAAGAAAACGGTAATTGAGATGTTAAAGGAAGAAACGAAACAATTCTTTCAACAAAATTTAAATAAAGAAACACCGATACAGATTGTATGGGATGCTTATAAAGCGGTGATGAGAGGAATTCTCATCTCGCAAAACGTGAAGCAAAAAAAGGAAAAACTTCAAAAACAAACAGAAGTGTTAGAAAAAATTGCTCAGAAAGAAAAGGAATTAAAAAAGAAGCCTGGAAAAAAGCAAATTATTAAAGAATTAAAGTTGCTGAAGGAACAACTGAATGAGACTTGGAATCAGGAAATGTATTGGAATTTAAAGAAGTTACAACAGAAATCTTTTGAAGGGGCGAACAAACCGGGAAAATACTTAGCTTGGCAACTTAAGGCTAGAAGAGAGAGAAGAATGATAACCAAAATAATAGAAGATGGAAAAGAGTTCGTTGATCCTAATGGAATAAAGAGATGTTTCTTCAAGTATTATGCTAAACTATTCCAAACAACTAGAGTTGATCTTGAGAAGATTAAAACATATTTAAAGGAGATTCCACTACCAAAAATAAGTAAGGAATACAAAGATTTATTAAATGGTCCAATTCAAAAAGAAGAAGTGATGAAGGCAATAGAAGAGACAAAGTTGGGGAAGGCGCCTGGGCCGGACGGATTTACAGCGAAATTCTACAAAAAGATGAAAGAAGAAATTTCCCCGGTCCTGGAAGCTTTAACCAACGAAATAAGAGAAAACAAAAAGGTGCCGGACTCATGGAAAGAAGCAATTATTTCTTTGATTCCAAAGGAAGGACAAGATTCAACAAATGTAAAGAACTACAGGCCAATATCTCTTTTGAACAACGATTATAAAATCTTTGCAAAAATTATTGCAGAAAGGGTGAAAAACTATTTACAAACGGTAATTTCTGAAGATCAAGCGGGCTTTTTACCCAAAAGGCAGATTAGAGACAATGTAAGAATAGTAATGGACGCAATTGAATATTATGAAAAGCACCCAGAAAAAGAAGTAGCTTTTCTGTTTGTTGATGCAGAAAAAGCTTTTGACAATCTTAATTGGAATTTTATGCACCAGATGATGGAAAAGATTGAAGCGGGACAACATTTTAGAAATTGTATTGAAGCTATCTATTCTGAACAAAGAGCTAAAATAAATGTGAATAAAGAACTGACAGATAACTTCAAAGTACAGAAAGGAACAAGGCAAGGTTGTCCGTTATCACCGTTATTATTTATCTGGGTATTGGAAATACTTTTACAAAAAATACAGTACGATCAAGAAATAAAGGGCTTGACACATAAAGGACACCAATACAAATATCGAGCATTTGCAGACGATGTAATGTTTATGGTGGAAAACCCAACAGAAAAATTGACATTGCTTTTTCAAAAAATAAAGGAGTTTGGAGAATTGGCCGGCTTTTACGTAAATAAGAATAAAACAAAACTTATATGTAAAAACATGATCAAACAAAAACAAGTGGAACTACAAGAACTGGTACAATGTGAAGTAGTTAAAAAAACAAAATACCTTGGAATTGAATTAACGGCAAAAAATATAGACCTATATAAGAATAATTATGAGAAATTATGGACTAAGCTGACTCAAGATTTTAAGAAATGGGATAAAATGAACTTATCACTGATGGGAAGAATATCAGTTATAAAAATGAATGTCCTACCACGTTTGATGTTCCTGTTCCAAACAATACCAATTCTGCATAAAACGGATTTGTTGGCCAAGTGGCAACAAGAGTTGTCAAAATTTGTTTGGGCAGGCAAGAAACCAAGGATCAAAATGAAAATACTTTGTGATGCCAAAGAAAGAGGAGGTCTACAAATGCCAAATCTTAGACTATATTATGAAGCGGTTTGTCTAACATGGATGGATCAATGGGTGAAGCTTGAAAATGACAGATTGTTGGGGTTGGAAGGGCATGATTGTAGATTTGGCTGGCATGCATATTTATGGTATGACAAGATAAAAATGGACAGTTTTTTTAAACTTCACTTGGTGAGAAAAGCTTTGTATATGGTATGGACAAGATATAAGAAGTACCAGAGTGACTTAAGACCATTGTGGATTGTACCAGTAGAAGTGTTGATATCTTACTCAAGACAGCGAGGTAGAGACTGGTTGCCATATAGAGATTTAATTAAAAAAGAGGGAACAGAGTGGGTAATGAAAAAGCAGAATGAAATTGAATATGAATATGAGTGGTTGAAATATATGCAGATTTATGATCTTTTTAGATCTGACAAAAAAAACTATGGTTTTAGAGAGGAAAAAAATGAAATTGAAAAGGTTTGGGAGAGTGGAGGAGGAAAAAATATTTCTAAAATGTATAAGGTGTTGTTAAAATGGTATACTGAAGATGAAACTGTTAAAGAACAAATGTTAAAATGGGCTATTAATATGAATAAGGAAGTGGCTATGGAAACCTGGGAATATTTGTGGAAAAATTCTATTAAGATCTCGACATGTACTAATGTTAAAGAAAACTGTTATAAGATGATGTATAGGTGGTACATGACACCTAAGAAAATTGCAAATATGAATCAAAATATGTCAAACAAATGCTGGAAATGTAAGAGGCATGAGGGCTCATTTTATCATATGTGGTGGACTTGTGAGAAAGCTGTAGACTTTTGGACAAAAGTCCACAATGAAATGCAAAAAATATTGAAATGTTCTTTTAAAAAAGCACCGGAAATTCTGCTTTTGGGACTTAAAATGGAAGAAGTCAATACGACTAAAAAGACTTTACTCTGGTACCTGATAGTGACAGCGAGAATGATTTATGCTCAGTTTTGGAAGACAGAAAAGGTACCAGAGGTTGAAGAATGGATACAAAAAGTTCTGTTCATGGCACAAATGGATAAGATTACAAAAAAACTGAATAACAAAGAAGACGATGAGTTTTTTGGAGAATGGAATGATTTTAAAATTTATCTGGAAAAGAACTGGGATGTGAAACAAAACTTAATATGTTTAGATCAATATTAAGTCAAACGATGTTATCTTTAGATTGTAATGATGAGAAACTGATATTGTTGATGATATGAAGTAATTTGGAGCAGGGGTGGAAGCATTGTGGGAAGCCATTGGAGGGAGGGGAGGAACTGGGAATGGGGTAGACAATTGATAGAATGAAAAGTTTTATATGTTGTATTCCTGAGAAAATAAAAAATTTGTTTACCAAAAAAAAAAAAAAAAAGAATCATATCTTCTTTATTCCTAATCTTAGGATCCAGAGAGGTCTCCTTTCATTGGGAAGGGATATGAGGAGGGTTTCTGTCTTGCATGCACACCGACAAATATAAAAATAGGAGATGCTCTGGCGTTGGAACTCACTCTGTTATCCTAAGTTCATTCTTTTGAGCTTAAGGCAACAAACCTTTGCCTGTCTGAAGAGGCTGTGCAGGGTACGGATTGGCTAGAAGCCTATAATATCATGAAATATCCTCCCCCCTCCCTGGAGCAGTTTTTCAGCTTAAAATAAGCAATCGAGTTTTTAAAGAAAGACAATCAGGATTTGGATCCAACCAGAGAGCCAAATTATACATTATGGAGGCCATGGATCAGACCTGGGTCCACAGACACCATTTTAGAGGAAAATTTAGCTGTTTAAAAATGGCCGCCATTTAAAAAAGCTAAATTTTCCTCTAAAACAGTCTCAGTGATGACCGGTCTAGCTCTTAGCCACTGTAACACGCAGTTTGGCTCTCAGGCTCAGCTGTGGTGTTGCACTTGAATGTGTGAGCATTTAAATAGCACTTTTAAAATAAAGTTAAAACAGGACAGTCCACTGGAAGCCACATGAAAATGCAAAATTCACTAGGAAATTAGCATGCACTGAAGAGACAAGTATACATATTTTAAAATAAACAATGCAAGGAAGCTGGACTCTGCCCACAGGACCAAAGAATACACTGGCTCTTGTTTTTATGTATGTTTCTAAGGAGCCTCTGATCTCACCTGCAGGAACTCAGTTGGCACCTGCTGGACCTTTCTCTCTGTCTTTCTTACAAGGCGGCTGAGATGGCAAATCTCCTCAGAAAGCATACTGACAATTTCACCCTCCCTCTCCTTGAGCTCTTTCACCAGGCCTCTGAGGTTGACCAGCCTGAGGTGCTGTTTTTCCTGAAGAAATGTGTGCATTCGTTCAAAACCGAATGTGATCTTCTGCTTCTCCGCTTCTAAACATGCCTGGGGGTGGGAAACACATTAAAACGGGGGAAGAAACAGGCATTACCACACAGCCTCTTCCTGACAGACATTGCTCCAGGTCTGGCCATAAAGCGTACAAGCAGGCCTCACAGAAACAAAGAGAGAAGAAGAAGAGATTGGATTTGTACCCCGCCCTTCACTACCCAAAGGAGTCTCAGAGCGGCTTACAAACTCCTTTCCCTTCCCCTCCCCACAACAGACACCCTGGGAGGTAGGTGGGGCTGAGAGAGCTCTGACAGAAAGTGCTCTTTTCCCCAGAACAGCTCTGACAGAGCTACGGCTTGCCCAAGGTCATCCAGCCAGGTGCAAGTGGAGGAAAGGGGAATCAAACCGGGTTCTCCCAGATTAGAGTCCGCGCACTTAACCACTACACCAAACTGGCTCAGAGAGACTGAAGTAAGAAAGCAGGACCATGTCCATCTCCATCACACTAGCTAGAAACACGTCGACAGCCTCTGGAAGGGCATAGCTTCACCCAGGAAGGGCGCACCAGCCCCCCACATCACATCAGAAGGCCTTTTGCCACAACTGACTCCGTGACTACTTTCATGGAAGCTATGGCCACAAGATTGCCAACCTCCAGATGGTGCCTGGAGTTATCCTGGGATGATAACAGATCTCCAGACTACACAGATCAATCCCTTAGGAGGAAATGGCAGGTTCAGTGGATGGACTATGTGATGTCACACGCTTATGGAGCCCCTTGCCCTCACCGGCTTCTGCCCTCCTCCAGCAGCCACTCCCAAATCTCCAGAAATTTCCCAAGCTGGAGCTGGCAACTTTACGTACTTCCAGGGCTCTTTTTGTAGAAAAAGCCCAGCAGGAACTCATTAGCATAACAGGCCACACCCCAACAGCACACTTCATTAGCTTATTAGGCCACACCCCATGTCTTCCCTTGACTTGCCCAGGTGCCCCACGGCTGCGTGATGCCTGGCAAGCCGGCCCTTAAATGCCTCCCCAATCCTTCCAGGTCCCCTCCGGCTTTGGAGTCGCTGGGGGGGGGGGGTTGTTCTCCAGGCCTTCCCTCTGTAGCCACACATGCAGAGGTTTTAACTGTAGTGGGCGTGGCCAACTCTAAAGCCAGCCGGAACTCTGTTCCTGTGGGTTCCTGCCCAAAAATAGCCCTGCCTACTTCCATTGAATTTCCCACTTTTCCTCAGGTTTGAATTTACCCATTGCTCCCTCTCTCATCCTCGAGCCTCTTCGAGCCAAATCAGACATGATGGCATTAAAAACGTTGCGAGGGCTTAGTCACAGAGAGGCAGGCTAGAGTGCTCTTGTTTTCCCTCATGCCATCAAAAGTGCTGAAACAGCCACATGGGGAGGATAGTATGGCCATTTTTGGCCCTTGGTATTAAGGCACGGTGGGGGGACAAGCGCACTTCAACCTGCCATGTTGTGGGCCCGATCCCTTGCAGCATTTTTAAAATGGCAACAGTGTCCGACTAGTCTGACCCTTACAGGAAGGGCAGAATAAAACTGTGTGTGTGTGAAATGCTGTCAAGTCGCAGCCGACTTATGGCAACTCCTGTAGGGTTTTCGAGGCAAGTGATTAAGCAGAGGTGGTTTGCCATTGCCTTCCTCTGCAAAGCCTTTCTTGGTGGTCTCCCATGTAAGTACCGATGCTGCTGAGTTTCCAAGATCTGACAAGATAGGGCTGTACTATACCATTCCGCATACCAGATAGAACTGTACAAATAGATAAATATGCCTCTTATGGATGACAGTCATTTTAATACTGGAATAAATATTTGCAGTAAATAGTCTCTTCCTGTTCTGAGATTTTATATTATGGCTTCCTTCCTACAACACAGAATGTTTGGGATCAGTTATTATTTCCATAAAACCTTTTGGAGAATACCCAGATGGCCTCATTTTCTTATCACAATCAGTCAGTGTGATGAATTATTGCTGAATGTAGGAACGGACTCTTTTTAAAAGCATTTCATCTGAAGGGAAATGAACACTCTCATCTACCGTGAGCATGGAAACCAATCTGTTCATTCATTTGTAATTCCATTAGGGTTGCTATGTCAGTCTATTGTAGCAAAACAAAACAGAAGATTTCTGTAAAAAACAGGCAAATCAGTTTATGTCTTCCCATTGTATCTGAAGAAGTGAGCTCTGACTCACAAAAGCTCATACCGGAATATGCCACTGGACTTCTGGTTGGGTTTTTTTTTCCATTCATGCATGCAAGATTGCTTGATGCTGCATTCCAGTTTTCTTTGCCTGTCGGGACAGAGCAGGCAAAATTCTGAAGAGTCAGAGCTGGCCTGCTATTCACATGATAACTGTCATATGTGTAGCCCAACTTGTGTTCACAAGTTTAGCCACCAGACATTCCTGGCATCTCAACTCTTCAGCCAGTTTCTGATCCACCAGATCTTCGCTCTCTTTTTTCCAGAGACTTTAGCCAGGCCTTTTGCTGCACAAAGAGGAAAAACGCTTCCCCCCCCTCACAGACCATTGATACCAGCCCTTCATTTCCTTAGACGATAATGTCGGATCTGAAAACATGGGACTTGCTGACATAACCTCCCATATTATTCTGGAAACTTTGGGTAAATTCCTTTGTAACTTACCACTTCACCCCTTCCATTTTACCTATTTCACTGGGTGATAATTTGGGAACAGATGCAATTCTAAACAGTTACTCCCTACCAATGTTCCCTCTAAGGTGTGGAGTCTTGTGAGCAAAAACTCTACTTGGTGAGCGACTGGCCTTAAAGCTGTGAGCGAGTGATTTGGCTGCTGCATTGAGTAGTTTGCTCTGGAGCCCTCCATCCTGAGCGGAGACGAAAATGTGTGAGCCAGAGGCTAAAAAACCGTGAGCTAGCTCACACTCACTCAGCTTAGAGGGAACACTGCTCCCTACCACTGTTCTCTCTAAGCTGAGATAGTGTGAGCTTGCTCACAGTTTTTTTAGCCACACATTTTTGTCTCAGCTCAGAAAGGACAGATGGAGAGCAAACTAACTTATGCAGTAGGCAAATCGCTCGCTCACAACTTTAATGCCAGCAGCTCGCAAAGCAGAATTTTTGCTCACGAGACACCACAGCTTAGAGGGAGCATTGCTCCCTACTAAATCCATTGACTTTCACGTTTAACTAGAGACAATGCCACTGTATGAATTAGAACGGCAGTTATTTACCTATTACGAACTCTAAGACTGCTACCCCACCTGAACCTGGGTTGTTTCCCTTTTCATTAGGCCACAGGAAAGGAAAAGCGCACAGGTTTCAATAACACTCCATTCTTAAAAAAAAGGAGGGAGAAACAGTTGTTTAAAACTGTGACATTCAGCTGTGGACGAATGCGGGGTTATCTGTACATGCTTTTTATGTGCAGCAGTCATTCTCACAGGTCTCCTGCCAACCTAGCAGTTCGAAAGCAAGAAATTGCAATAAATAGGTACCACTTCAGTGGGAAGGTAACAGCATTCCGTGCACCTTGGTGTTTAGTCATGCTGGCCACATGACCATGGCAATGTCTTCGGACAGTGCTGGCTCTTCGGCTTTGGCACCAAAACCCTAGAGTTGGATTCGACTGGCTTTGGAGCAAGGGAACCTTTACCTTTACATTCTCACAGGAATGCACCTTCTCAAAAGAAACCACAGTTGTTTCCTACCTTGTATTTCGGGGCTCCCTCTTCCAGCGGCACCACGTCCTGGTCCTGATGCTCTCGGGCTCCGTCGCACACCGCACAGATGAGGGCTTCTCCATCCTCCCGGCAGAGGAGCTTCAGGGGCTCCCGGGGGTGCCTTTCACACAACAACCCCCTCCCCTTCTCCCCTCGGCCCGCCCTCGTTCGCTCCTCAAGCTTCTTGACTATTTCTATGACGTTCGCCAGCTGCCGATTCGGCCTCAGGTCCCGGTGGAGGATAACTTCTCGGCACTGGGGGCAGGTGGTGGCGAGGTCGAATTCCTCCCAGTAGTGGGAGATGCAGGCGCGGCAGAAATTGTGCCCGCAGTCGAGGGTCACCGGCTCGGCGAAGTGCTCCAGGCAGATGGGGCAGGTCGTCTCCTCGCAGAGTGCCGAGAGGAGAGCCGCGTCGGCCATGGCAAGCGCCCCTCTCCGCACGCAGCCCTCGCTCGGTTCCGACGGCGGCCAATAATGACCGGGCAGTCATGGCCTTCCCGGAGAGGCCTCGGGACGGCGGATGATGCTCGCCGAGCAGGCAGCGACCCCGGGGAAAGAGGCGTGTCTTGCAGCGCAGTCATCTGGCAGGAGTTACCCCAGCCTAAGGCCGTGGAAAGCAATGAGAATTCTGCAGGGAATTGCACTCTTGGGTGGGGCCTGCTGTTGGACACCAAAGAACAGAACTATAAACAGCAATAGAAAAGAGCAAGAGTCCCCCAGCGCCTGAAACACTAACAAAATCTGTTGTAGGGCAGGAGCTTTCGTGAGTCACTGTTCACTACTTCAGCGACCATACTGATCTATAACCAGTGTTCCCTCTAAGCTGAGTTACTGTGAGCTCACAGTTTTCTAGCCTCTGGCTCACACATTTTTTGCCGTAGCTCAGGAAGGATGACTCCAGAGCAAACTAATTTATGCAGTAGCCAAATCGTTGGCTCACAACTTTAATGCCAGGAGCTCACAAAGTAGGATTTTTAGAGGGAACATTGTCTATAACCAGCAAGGTTGCCAACTCTGGCTTGTGGAATTCCTGGAGATTTGGGGGTGCCACCTGGGGAGGACAGGGCTTGGGAAAGGGAGGGGAGAGCCCTCACTCCCCCTGGGATATAATCAGGGCTTTTATTTTGTTTTTGGAAAAAGAGATGCTGGAACTTTCAAGAGGGAAATGAAGTTTTCAATCTGTACGCTGAAAACTCATGAACCTGTAAATAGTTTTTAACATAATTTTGTCGAAGAGGTTCCAGAATTTCATGCTGTTTTCTTCCGGGGAACAACTACTACCAGTATTCTGGAAATCGGCGTAATTCTGGGAGAGCTGCAGATCCCACCTGGAGTGGCAACCCTAAAAGCCTGAGTTCTTTAAAGGGAGGGGGCCAAATTCTGCACCTAAGCAGAGGCAGTCTTTCTTAAGGTCATTTAAAAAAAGACAGATGCGAAAAACCTTCACAAAAACCATCTGTACAAACTCAGAGGCTCTTTCGGGTTGCCAGTTGCCCTATGGAAAGGGCGGGGCCTGCTCCTGTGCCTTTAAATGATGTTTGCTATAATACAGACTTAGATAGCTCAAGCTAGCCTGATCTCTTTAGATCTTGGAAGCTATGGCAGGGTCACACAGTGAAGATCCTTGTGCTGTGGTGACACATTTTTTAGAACCCGCACAGCCAGTCACAGCCCCACATGGCCCTACCCACTTTCTAAAACACCTGGGGGGCACTAGGAAAAGCTGTCAGTGGGTGCCATGGCGCCCATGAACACCACGTTGGGGTCCCCTGTGTTAAAGGCACAGCTACAAGGAACTGTTGAAACAGCTGACAACTCTATCCTCGGCTCCTTTGTTTGCATCTATTCACAAAAACCTTCTGGGCCACCTCAATTAATTGGGACACGTTCATCCCTTGGAACCCTTCTAACTTCTGTAATTTGCGTCTAATGTCAGGTGCAGCCTGGCTAACAAAAGATGCATTCACCATTGTACGGTTTGCTTCTTCCTCTGGGTCAAAAGGAGTGTAGAGGCGGTAAGCCTTGTACAGTCTTTCAAGGAAGGTATAGGGTGGCTCAGTTGGCTCTTGAATGACCTCCCTCAATTTAGCCATATTCATGGGCTTCTTTCCTGCTTCCTGGAGACCTAAGAGGATGGCAGTTCGGTATTCCTCTGATCTTCCTCTATCTGCATCTACATTGGGGTCCCAATTTGGGTCTATATCTGGGAAGCGGGCACGAACCCAGTCAGCTGCATTAGGCTGTTGGTCAGCAGGGACTCTGTTTTCAACAGTTTTCTTAGCAGCTGCCATGACTTTCCGCTTCTCTTCTGAAGTTAATAAAGCAGTAAGTAACTGGCTACAATCTCGCCAGGTAGGGGCATGTGTAGCCATAATTGTTGTAAACAGATCTGTCATGGGTCGGGGGTCTTCACTATATGGGGTCGTCTGTGTTCTCCAATTACAGAGATCGACAGTACTGAAAGGAGAATAGACCCATCTCATAATCCCATCCGCTCCTGCTGGAACTTGACGGAGAGGGCAGACTGTTGCTAAATTGCCAGTTTCCTGAGATTTGCCTACAGGCACTTTAAAAGGGTTCATTTCACTGAGTCCTGATGTAGGACTCCAATGAGTGGCGGGGCTCCAGGTCCCTGTTGTCGGATTTTTCTTAAGGACTGTCTTAGGTATGGGAGTGACAGGGGTCTCAGGTTCAGGAGCAGAGGCAGTAGCCAAACAGTCCACTAAGGATGGATAAATGGTGGAGACTGGCACTGAAGGGCTAAGCGCTTCACTGATTTGCAGTTCCTGAAGCTGCTCCTGGGCTGCAAGTTCTTGGGCGGCACGGGCCTGCGCAGTCTGTGATCTAGTCACTCTTGCTTCTGGGGGCGGAGTTGGAAGAGGAGGCGGTGGCAATGGCCCAGCAGAGTATGGTGGGGGCCAATCATCCTCCGGTGGCGGGCAAGTCACTTGGGGGCCTTGGGGCCTGCTTTCTGGGGTATTCAGGGTTGGACAAATTGCTGGCATAGTTCCTGGTGTTGGGCAAACTATAGGCTGGTTGGCTGCTGGGGCAGAGCCCTGTCGGGTTTTAAATCGCTTGGCCTTGGAAGGATTTTTCCTCACATATTCATACCAGCAGTAGACATAATGGAGCTGCTGATCGGAATGGTCCTCTTGGGGATCCGTAGCTGCCAGATAGACTCTGTGTAGCAGAGAGAGATCCATGGAGCCCTCTGGTGGCCATCCCACTGTAAACGCAGGCCAGTTTACCTCACAAAATGTCTGCAGACAGACTGGATTTAAAACTACGCCATGAGTGGCTGTGCCAAAAATTTCTTCAAAGTGCTTGAGCATAAACTGAAGAGGGGTTTTGGGCTTTGCCTGACTCCCTCCCATTTTGAACAGACAAAAGACAGACAGCTGGGTATACAGAGGGTGGGGTAAACAGGGAGAGTGGTAAGGGGTCCACTGCTCCTAGACACATAAAAGGGAGACCTTAACCACAAATGCTTCCACCTGTACCCGACTCAGATGCGATCTCTCGACTGAGAAATGCGAGCTTGAGGTGACCACAATTCAATTTGACTTTCTCCTATTACGGGAGTCCGCCTTTTCACACTCACACACCATGCATTCACTTCAACACAGATCCCACCCTGATCATAGGAAAGCCAAGGCTTTCCTAGCCTGCCTGACAGAAACTGACCCGATAGGAAGGTGATCAGGCTTCCTCTTCCCTTCAACTGAAGGGGACCGATACCGATTAATACTGACCTGACTCTGACCAGACTGGACTCCGGAGTCTTCCCCTGATGTTCTCCTCCTGGCTGAGTTCACTGAGCAAGCGACTTTGGTGAGAACCAGCCCTGGAGAGGAGTGAATGATCGGCTTTTCGAAATCGAAAATGGCGCCTTTGCCGCCAAACAGTCCTCAGTCAGTGCGGTTCTCTTCAAAATCGTGGCTCAGGAGGGCCCCAACAACCCGGCCTTGGTTGGGTGCTCCCCCCTTTCCCGGTCAGGGAACCAGAAATGTAGCACGGAGAAAGGGGCCTAAGCCCAAGCACAGACCACCAGATCAACAGAAGGAGAAGAACTTTATTGGCGACGGTTCAGTCCATGGACAGTGCTTATAGAGAGCATAGCCAGCAAGTTCCAGGCTTCTTTTCACCTACAGAGGATTGGCTTGCTCCCAATATAAACACTTATATGGAACCAGAAGTAAGTTTTCTAAAAATTAAATAATTATAAAATAGCTATTTTCCATTCAGCTTCATGTGGATTTTCATTGACCATGGTTTATTGGACTTTTTAACAATATTGTACAATTGAGAATGTTGGACAAATTTTTGTAATCTTATAAAGTTTAAAAAGCAATATAAATATTACAAATGTTATTCATATCACAGGGTTTGCTTGTGTGTTGTTTTTCCTGTTGGATACCTGTGATCCCTTTTGGTTTGTGCTGTTTCTACTGGGGATGTAGACATAAATGTATGATGGATTAAGTAGGCAAGTCTCCCTTTTACCACTGATCCACAGCTAACAGAGATCAGCTCCCCTGGAGAAAATGACTGCTTTGAAGGGTGGACTCTATGGCATTGTACCGTGCTGAGGCCCCTCCCCTCCCCAAACCCCGCCCTCTCCTGGATCCACCCCCAAAGTCTGGTATTTTCCAACCCAGACCTGGCAACCCTAGGAAACTCTTGCACACCGTGGGGGTTTTTTTTTGCCTTTTTACTTGATCTTAACAAGAGGTATTACATGATATTGTTTTTGTTCTGGATTTTGCTTTTGGACCAATATGGCTGGAAACAACTTCAGCCAACCCTCCCTATCCACTTTACGGTCCCGCCAGGTCCCGCTCACCAACAGATGGGAACAGAGCGTCTTGCTAGAAAAGAGGACTACAACTCCCAGAACCCCATCTGTGCCAGGAAGGAAGGAAGAGGGGAAAAAAAACAATCAAAATCCATATCAACTACCAGCAGTTGGGCTTCTCGTGGTTGATCGCAAACAAACATTTGCGGCAACGTCTATGGTAAATGCAATTAGGGGTTTCGTAGATCCATGCCCATACGGAGAAAACTACGTAGGGGCGCGTCTTAAATTCGCTGGCGGGTGGTTGTGCGGGGAGCGGAATTGACCTGAGGATGCTCCGTTTGAGCCGTGGTAGTGGAGCCTTCGCCTTGCGTATTTCACTGACGGGCTGCTGAAGGAGAGGGCGGTGGTCGCCACGCCACCCCTCGAGAATTTCTGCAAGAGGAGGGAGGGGCGGAGAAAAGGACCTCCCCGCTCCCCCCCAGGAAGAGAACCGGTAGCGGCTTTGGGAACTAAGGAGGGCATCCGCAGGCTTTGTGAGTTACTTATGTGGACAGTAAGATCATGCGAGCCATTTGTTCTGTTCGTGCGGCATTTCTGCAGGCCTTCCAAAGATCCGGAGGACTTTGCGTGCAGTCCCCTCCGCCTTTACTCCCGTCTGATTGATTTCCGCGGGCTCAGGCTGGAGTCGCTCTGCGCTGGATCGCCCTGCTGTCAGAATCACAGGGAACTGCCCTGTCCACTCTCCAGAACACCCCATCCCTTGCCTACCAGTTGGAAATCTTTTCTTTAAAAAGTATGGCCAGAGAGAGAACTGCATTTTAAAAGAACTGAGTTTATTCAGATGTGTAGCTGGTTACATTTTGTATGGGGGAGGGAATGGAATGGGAAGTTTTCGTGCTTCTGGGCATGTAGGGTTGAATGAAGGGGCGAAGTCGTTTCTCTAAAATAAATATATGGCCGGGAGGAGGGGGTGGAGAGAAAAGACAAAGAGAACGAAGAGTGACGCTGCCTTTTAGAACAAGAACCGGTGCCGCTTGTCCTACCACTTGGGGAGCGCAGAATGAGAAAACCCTGATGGAAAAGTAATCTTGGCCTTTTGTACTGTGGTCGTATGAAGCAGAGAAGGGTTTAGGACAGGGATGGCCAAATTTGCTGAACCTAAGAGCCACATAGAATAAATGTCAGATGTTTGAGAGCCGCAAGACATGAACAAATATTGCATGTTTTTATTGGAAAATATGCAAATTTGCTTTTTATTAGCATTAAATGAGACTGTCAAAAATAACAACAAAAGGGGTAAAAACAGATATCGATAATGATATTTATTTGTCCAATGATATTTATTCGTTTGCTAATGATATTTATTTTTTTAAGAGAGAAAGAGGAGGAGAGGTGGAAAGAAAGAATGAAAGAGGTGGAAAGAAAGAGAGAAAACAAAGAAAATAGATGGAGGAGGGAGGGGGAAGAAAGAGTGGAAGGAAGGGAGAGAGTGAGAGAGAAATAGAAAGAAAGGTGGAAAGAAAGCAAATAGGTAGGGGAGGGAAGAAAGAAAGAAAAGATGGCAGAGGGAGGGAAGGAGAAGTGGAAAGAAAGCAACTACAGCTAGCATGGCTTGGTGAAGGAATTTAAAGAGACAAATGCCTTCTCCAAGCTGGCCAGCGCACGCAGGGGGGGGGGGTTATTGCTTTGAGAATGCATTTAAAGTTCAAGTTGCTTTCTTTCTCTGCTCCCCCCACCTCAAGCCTACGTAGGGAACACCAATTGGTCTCTGCCCTGCCGAGAGCCGCACAATATGTGTGGAAGAGCGAGTCACAGTTTGGCCACCCCTGGTTTAGGAGATGCAAAAAACAGTGAATGCAATATTGCTCTTTCATCAAATTGGCAGTGAATTTCTTAAAAGACTGCGTAGAGACAACAGGGGGAGCATTTTAAGCCTAGTTGCATACATTACGGGGTTCAGTGACTCTGCCTCAAGCCCCCCTTGCCACATGGCCACATGGCACACCCCTCCCATTGGTCTAGCAGACACAGAATGGAATTCTTCTACCCATCCTCATGTCTAGAATTGATGCTGGACGGTAGGGCGTCATGTGCCACTGGTAGGGAAATGATTTGTTTCTCCACCATATTACTTTTATGATGTTTTTCTGCCAATGGAGAGTAGAACACCTTTTTGTCGTTTTCAAGTCGTTTCCCATGCCGGCCACACCTAATACCTTATTTCTTGCTGCGTGAACAACAGAATTTCACGTTGTACCTTCAGATGCTATGATTATTGTTTTTTTAGTGTGCCAAATGTATAAACAGGGTAAGTGCAAAACCCCGAAACAGTTGGTCCCTGCCCTGAGGAACTCACAAAATAAAGGATTTTGTTTGGTCTGCACTGTTCAGCTTTTCATATACAACGGGGTGGACTTTAATGCTGATCCTAAACCCGTTTACTTGAAGGCCTCATGAAGAAGTAAGTTCTGGGGTTTACGCTTGCAGAGATTTTTTTTTCTTTTTAATTTAGTATTTTATAAACAATACATATAAGCAGGGGTCATTTCCTGCAGGAGCGTACAGGAGCGGAGCTCCGGCAGTAAAGAGTCCAGGGGGCGGGCACATGCAACAAGCCCCACCCCCTGCTCCCAGCAGCCCTCAGTCAGAGCAAGAAGCAGCCAGGTAAGTTGCAGAGCTCCCCCCGGTCCAAAACAGTCCAGTGGCACCTTTAAGACCAAGTTTTATTCAGGTACAAGCTCTCCCTCCTCTGTGAGGACAGATGTGCACATCCCCCCCCCCAATAGCTAGCAATCTAGAACAGTCCAGTGGAGCCTGAGCGGTGGGTGTTGCCTTCTGATACACTTCCGGTGATGTCACGGGGTGTGGCATATGCAAATAAGTTCCGCTAATGAGTTATGCTAATGAGCTCCTGCACCTCTTTTTCTACGAAATGACCCCTGCATATAAGACATACGACTAACTTTACAAATTATCAGTACCCGTCAACAAACACCAAATCTATAGAAACAAAGCAATACCAGGCATCACATCTTATAGATTTTACACAATTACACTAAAATTAAAGATTTTCAGTTATTCGGAACCACTTCAAGTCACGTCAAATACTCTAATACAATGGACCAAACTTCAACAAAGTGAGAACAAGATTGATGAGATTCGTATTGATTTACTCGATAAGTAATCTTGTACATGATATACGTTTCCCATAACTTCCCATAATATGTTTGCAGAGATGAAGGCGGCTGTGTACAGGTTCTCCAGAATCATCTTGATCAGTTGCTGTCTCTTCCCAGAAAGTGCTCTGCAGTTTTTATTGCCAGACCTGTTGGAAGAGGAACTGCCTGTACCTAACTCAGGGAAAGCTGAAGTTGCTGGGTCCCCACCCCCCCTTCTCTGCATGTCTCTGGTTCCTTGAGATAGCTTCTGATGTTGTGGGAACTGAGTGGTGAGGTGTTTGTTCTTGCAGAAGCCGGTGGTCTTTCAAGAAGGCTCTTGTGAACAGTGATGTCAGAATGGAGATTCCCCCTAACACAGCCTTGTCAGGTAAGGTACTTCTCAATTTGCTAGGAGCCTCGTGTCTGCCTTCTTAGTTCCTTAACATTTTCTGGGGTTAATTTACTTTACTTGGTTAGGTTTGTTTAAAACAAAATTAAATTTCTTATGAACTTCTCAAATGTGTACCTTCAGACATAGGTTTTAGAGTGCATTATTGGGGGGGAGGAGTACATAAAACTATATTTGGAATATTTCTAATAATTGTGGAAATTAGAATCATAGAAATGGAAGGGGCCATGAGCAGGGAGTTGGACTAGATGGTCTGTAGGGGCCCTTCCAACTCTGATTCTAATTTCCACAATGATTAGGAATATCCCAAATCTGGTTTTTTAAAGTAGTCGATAAAACTCTTGGCTGACAGTTGGTCTCCAAGCGCTTAGGCTGGTGTGACGTAGAAGCATAGTGGACTAAGACCAGCCACCAGGTAGACCTGTGTTCAAATCCTTCCCTTGCTGTGAAGACCTCTTGAGTGTTCTTGTACCAATCACACTCCCTCAGGCTCACCGCTCTCACATGGCTGATGCAAGGATGAAATGGGGAAGAAAGGGCAGGATAACAATATACTCCATAGGCAAAGGTCTTTTCCAGCCCACTCTCTTGAGTTCCTTCAAACAGAGATATTAGGAACTGAGCCTGGGACTTTGGAACAGAAAATTTGTGCTCTACCACTAAAATAAGGCTCCTCTTAAATTTTGCTTTGAATCTCCTCTGGAGGGTTTCGGGAGTAAGTTTTATGTGTGGGTTGCTCTGCTTTGGTTTAAGGTGTACAGCCAGATTCTGACTGAAATCCCTTCTCTTTTCTTTCCTGAAAAGGGTACCTAGTCCTGAAGCCTAACCTCAAATCCTGGATGGAAGTGAGGGGGTTGCCATGGATGCCAGTTATCCAGGGTTTGGGTTTGAGTCAAAAAGACAGAAGCTCAGGTCAGCACAAGCCAGTTTTCCTCGTGTTCTCTTCTAATACTGCGGTCCTCAAACTTTTTGAATCTGAAGCCACCTCTGAACTTACTGTACTCTACTTGAGAGCCAGTTTGGTGTAGTGGTTAAGAGCGGTGGACCCTAATCTGGGAGAACCGGGTTTGATTCCCCGCTCCTCCACATGCATGCAAAACAGTTAATTCAGTACCCCTTCTGCCGAAAAAGAACTTCTCCTCCTATACGCTCTGTAAAGGAAGTTTGCCACCTCTTAGATAAATATGAATATAATGTAAGGACATATAAGTTGAATTGACGTCTCCCCAGTGCTTCTAATAAAAACTTTGGTGTGAGGAGAGAGTCAGCAGTATTTGTATTGCCATTGCCTGAAGAAGCTGAAGAGATGCTGGCAAGTTCAGCCGATACAAAAAATTCCTTTAGCAAAGGCGCTCCCCTGGCATTCTTTTGATTCCTTTTGTCTTTAGAAGCTTTAGGCGGCATATTTTAGGTCAGGTTTGTTTAAAAATAGTCAATTAGAGTTGATTTAAGAGTGAGAGGTCTGGGAGCAGCGGTAATGGCTTCTGGTTGGCACGCAATCGAAGCCACGCCCCAATGCATTCTAAACGATATGGTCTGAAAATAACTTGTGTCTCTGACGCTTCATTTTCTTTCATAAACAAAGCACGTTTTTAGCCTTATCAGTGCTCAGATACATTCAAAATGCGTGACTTCCGGTTTCTGGTGACCTGCAGGCGGATGCGCTCCATCACAGCTCTGATGTGAGTGGCCCGCAAATGTATCAATGGGGAGGGGTCCGAGTTGAACTTGGACCCCCGCATCCCCTTGTAGGGGGGTTGCAACCTGGGGTGCGTGAGGTGCCTCTCCCGAGGTGGAAGCTAAGGGATAGAGGCTCCTTTTTGCCCTGATAGGGTCTCGTGGCATGGAGCCAGCAATGGCATCTAGAGGCGCACACCAGTCCGAGCGCGCAAGTGATCCGAAAGAACCAATCTTCTCTACATGTAAAATGCATGTAAAAATGGGAGTGAAACCACGTTTTAGCGAACAACCACCTAAACATTGATAGTAAAGCCGCCCCAAAGACCCAAACAAGTGGAAGGGGGAGGGGAATCTCTGAGCCCGAAAAGACTGAGTTAAAGTGGGGACCGAGTGGGCGGCTTGAAGGGAGTGGATTTTGGCTGAGTGTGGTGCGGATTAGCAAGAAAGCGCTTATTACCAGACCTTCAGAGACTTCTTAAAATTTTCACTCACTGTAAACAATGATGCAGCGAGCAGAAAGAATGGTGGCGAAAGCGAAACTTACAACAGGAACTGCCAGCACATTGTCTCTGGCTTCTAAACCGGAAGCAACCATAGACTTTGCTAAAATGATAGCTGCAGCTTTGCGCCCTCTACTGGACCAGTTGACCAACCTTAATGACAAGTTTGATACGTTGCAAAAGGAATTCAAACAAACTTCAGCAAAAACAGAGAAGATAGGCAAGAAGCTGAAAAAAGTTGACGTTAAGTCCAAAGACAAAGACTGGAGGTGGTGGAACAAGATCTCAGAGTCAACAACTGCTACTTCTTCAAATGGAAAAATCAGCGTATATTCTGAGATTTCAAAACATTCCGGAGCAGAAAGGAGAGAACCTGAAGGAGATTTTAAGTGAATAGCTGGCTCCCGTGGTAGGTTTAATAGTGAAAGTGTTACAAAGCAATATTGATCTGGTTTATCGTACATATCCAGAATTTATATTAAAAAAAACACAAGCTACCCGGGGAAGTATATGCGAAATTCTCAAAAAGGTCAACAAGAGACTTAATTTTGAAAGTGACAAATGGAATTGCTTTGAAAATCAAAGGAGAACAAGTCAAAGTTTAAAAAAAATGTTCCATTTGAGATCAGGAAAAGGAGGAGACATTACAGAGACTTAACATTGTTTTTGCAAAACCATACCACTCCATACAGATGGATAACACCGGAAGACCTTATCTTCAACTTCAATGGGAAAAAAGCAAAGATTTACTCTGTTCTTAAAGCGAAAATATTCTTGGAGCAAAAACAGAAAGCGAGAGATGGACCTGAGAAAGTGGAGGACAACAAAGATGCAGAGAAAGAAGAAGATAAAAATGGGGAAAAGTCTGACAACACCCCGAGTAGCTCGGCAGAATCCTCAGACTCTGAAGCAGAATTAGGGGCTGCTGCACCTAAGCCTTTAAAAATTAGATTGGACTTTGATAAGAAGCGTAGAGGAAGGAAATAAGCAAAATTAGAGTAACTTTGACAGTCTGATGTTTATTATTAACTAATAATCTTAAAGCTAAGAAGCACACACTTTAGTCAAGTATGATTGTGATTGCTCGCTTTACACTTTTATATTTTTATAGTATTACTATTTGGGTAATAGGGAAATATCGACTATCTTAAATTCATGTATTAATGATCCTTGCTACTGGTAGTTTTAGGTTGTTCCCATCCCCCGACCCTGTAGGTTTGTAGTATTAAAAAAAAATGCATGAATGATGCCTGGCAAAAATCTCAAACCGGAACTGGATATAATTTCAAGAGGATAGGACTAGTTTTTCTCCTCTTCACTTAACTAGAGAAGCAGAGTCAAGTATTACAGAATTCCTCTTATTTTGCATTCTTTCCCACCACACCCCCCCGTGGATTGCCTGGACATATTTTTTTTTTTAAGGATGGTGTACCTCCTTAAGGTGCTCCCGCCATGGTTATGTCTGTGCCTGTGGTAGATAATTATTCAGCACATTGAATAATTACTTTGAACAACATAACATTAAGTGTATTTATTTTGGGTGTCCCTGCTGTAAGGCTTCCATTTATCCTACAGGGAAGTTCTGAGTACTGTTCATTGAATTCCTATAAGGGAATACTAGGAAACACTAGCAAAGATCCGAGTTGCTCCCTCTGGATTTAATATTGATATTTAATAATATAATCTGTTCCCTTGTTGTATGACTGATTCCATGCTCACCGTCTTTCTCTTTTTTGTTATCATGTGCAACTACTGTGGATTTGGCGTGCTGTGGATTTGGCTCATCAGTTGTGCGCTCTTCCTCTTATGTCTTCCTTCTGACCGGCTTTTCTGAAGTAGAACAAGAAGTGGAAATTAAGCAGGAACATGAAAAGCCATGTGTCCAAGCCCCCAAGGTATCTCGGAAGAGCCAGGCCTTCCCGGCTGTCCCGTCCGGTAAGGGTTAGATTCGTCTTACTTGGGGGATGCACAGAGGATTTATTCAGAACTTGTTTCAGGTTTCTTTTCAAGGTTGTCTGTGGATTGTTGCCCATCGCTCTTGACTAAGGTCTAGTCTACGCATTACACTTACCACACGGAACTTTGTTTTCATGTGAAAGTTTTGATTTGTTTGTGAAGTGTACCACATGCATTTGGGGTGTATGCTGCCTCAGGAATGTGCCTTAGCAAATCTGTGATGGCTTGATGCAGTGTTTTTATTCCCTTGGTGTTTCGAACATATGTATACAGTAATGTCACATATCTCACACAGAAGTTCCCCAACAGTCTTGAAATTCTTGATATTGGATGTAATGTTAAAAGGGGGGCCTTTCTCACCCTATTCCCTTCCCCCTTTTGCTTGGTCTTCTTGTTCCTACAGAGTGCAGACCAGCACCCCAGTTTCAACCTGGACTGTCCCCTCCCGGTGGGCGTCAACGATGTGCAAGAAAACCAGCTCAGGTAGGGGATTCTGAGGAAGCCGCTGATGGGTTTTCAGTGGGATATGGAGAGCAGGGGACATGAAAAGATTCAGGCAAGAAGGGAACTCATAGCACCCCTTACCATTGAAAGACACATCTGAAAAAAAATTACAATATTTCTACCTCATCTTTCCCCTCACATTTCCAACAATTAAATACCTACAAGATACAGTAAAACTCCATATACCCCCCTTCTGAAGAAGGTTGGTTTTTATACCCTGCTTTTCTCTACCCTAAGGCGTCTCAAAGCGGCTTATAGCTACCTTCCCTTCCTCTCCCCACAACAGGCACCTAGTGAGGTAGGTGGGGCCGAGCAGTCACCTAGCAGGCTTCATGTGGAGGAGGAGGTGGGGAATCAAACCTGGTTCTCCATATTAGAGACCACCGCACTTAACCACTACACCATGCTGGCTGCCAAGAAAATGCCTGCAGCTGAAACCTGATCAAAAAGCCCTCACAAATAAAATGGCCTTACAGAACTTCTTAAGAACTTTTAAAGATGCCATCCTCCTTACTGCCTCATAGAGCCCTATAGAAAAGAAATGGGTTCTAGCAGTTGCCACGTGGGCCACTTTAAGTTAGGGAATAACTAGAAGGTGGCAACCAGAGGTCCACAGTTGGCACATTGGAATGTATGGGGCGGGGGAAGTGCTCTCAAAACACCAGTACCGTATGAAAAGATTCAGGCAAGAAGGGAACTCATAGCACCCCTTACCATTGAAAGACACATCTGAAAAAAAATTACAATATTTCTACCTCATCTTTCCCCTCACATTTCCAACAATTAAATACCTACAAGATACAGTAAAACTCCATATACCCCCCTTCTGAAGAAGGTTGGTTTTTATACCCTGCTTTTCTCTACCCTAAGGCGTCTCAAAGCGGCTTATAGCTACCTTCCCTTCCTCTCCCCACAACAGGCACCTAGTGAGGTAGGTGGGGCCGAGCAGTCACCTAGCAGGCTTCATGTGGAGGAGGAGGTGGGGAATCAAACCTGGTTCTCCATATTAGAGACCACCGCACTTAACCACTACACCATGCTGGCTGCCAAGAAAATGCCTGCAGCTGAAACCTGATCAAAAAGCCCTCACAAATAAAATGGCCTTACAGAACTTCTTAAGAACTTTTAAAGATGCCATCCTCCTTACTGCCTCATAGAGCCCTATAGAAAAGAAATGGGTTCTAGCAGTTGCCACGTGGGCCACTTTAAGTTAGGGAATAACTAGAAGGTGGCAACCAGAGGTCCACAGTTGGCACATTGGAATGTATGGGGCGGGGGAAGTGCTCTCAAAACACCAGTACCGTGATACTGTGGTAGACTGTCATCCATGTCTTGGTGATACCTCACTCCAAATCCCCAAACAGTCCGAGCCAGGAATTTCATGTAGATGTTATAGAGCATATAAGGCGGGGACAGGATTTTCTCCATCCTTCCCCCTCATAATTTGTGGCAGCCCCCCAATTTATTGATTATTGTCAACCTATAATCCCAGCCTAATCTACCTCACTAGGTTGTTCCTCACAAATAAAATGGCCTTACAGAACTTAAACTTTTAAAGATGCCACCCTCCTTACTGCCTCATGGAGCCCATTCCACGAAGTGGGAACTACTATAGAAAAGAAACGGGTTCTAGCAGTTGCCACGTGGGCCACTTTAAGTTAGGGAATAACTCGAAGGTGGCAACCAGAGGACCACAGTTGGCACATTGGAATGTAGGGGGGGGGGGAGGGCTCTCAAAACACCAGTACCATGATACTGTGGTAGACTGTCATCCATGTCTTGGTGATACCTCACTCCAAATCCCCAAACAGTCCGAGCCAGGAATTTCATGTAGATGTTATAGAGCATATAAGGTGGGGACAAGATTTTCTCCATCCTCCCCCCTCATAATTTGTGGCAGCCCCCCCAATGTATTGATTATTGTCAACCTATAATCTCAGCCTAATCTACCTCACTAGGTTGCCGTTGGTATGCACAAACATATAAAGATGCTTTTGCAGTGATCCCTTCATTTCATTTATCTTCAGGGCTCTAGTCGGGGGGGAGCTCTCAGGTATGGAGCTCCGGAAGAGAACCTCTAGGGGGTGGGGCGGTCACGTGGTGAAGCCCCGCCCCTTCTTTACCCCGCCCTCTGCTTCGATCCTCATTCCGTTTGGGAATGAGGATGAAGCAGGAGGGTAAGTAGCCGGGCCTTCTGACACACTTCCGGTGATGTCAGGGGGTGTGGCCTTCTGTCACTTCCGGTGATGTCAGGGGGCGTGGCATATGCAAATAAGTTATGCTAATGAGTTATGCTAATGAGCTCCGGCAGCTCTTTTTCTACAACAAGACCCCTGGGGACAAGATTTTAATTGTAACAAGCAAATTGTGCTGGATGTAATGAGATACATGGGGGGCAGATGGATGCAAATTTAGCAATTATTTTTTTTTAAAAATGGAATTTAAAATTAGTAGGAGTGAGCAGCATTTCTTTCCAAGGTGGAGGTGGATAGAAATGTGCTGAATTGAAACAAATATTTTGGTATGGACACCACCTCAGTGCACAGGTTTTTTGTTGTTGTTGCAGATGCCGGTGACCTTTGAGGATGTGGCCGTGTATTTCTCTGAGGCACAGGGGACTTTGCTGGACCCTGACCAGAAAGCTTTATACAGGGAGGTCATGTTGGAGAATTATGAGAATGTGGCCTCACTGGGTAAGAAGTTGGTTTCTTGCCCTCTAAGTGTCTTTGAGGAGATTAGTTTAAAATGCCAAATTACTCTTGACATTTCTTTTCTCCCCCCCCCTCCCCCCAAGGGGGGACGCCAAAGCCTGAACTCATCATCCGTCTGGAACGGGGAGAGGAGCCGTGGATGTCAGACCCTGGAGATGTTCCAGTCTCAGGTGGGTAGGCCAATGTGGATGGGGGTCTTTTCAACCCTGACCTGTAAGTCTTAATTACCTCAAGAAAAATCACAGGATCCTTCCCAATCTGCCTCAGAAGGATAAATGGTTACTCAATATGTGAGTTTTCCTACTTAACTGAAGCATCACATGAAGATGTTCTCATTTGTCAGTGGGGAAAGATGTTACGAAGGCAGCTTTGGCCAGTTAACCACAACAGTGAAAGAGATGTTCTCATTCTAAGGGGGGGTGATCAACAGGGATGTGCATAGAGCCAGTTTGGTGTAGTGGTCAGGAGCGCGGACTCTAATCTGGGAGAACCAGGTTTGATTCCCCACTCCTTCACATGCAGCTGGTGGTGTGACCTTAGGTCAGTTACAAGTTCTTTCAGAGCTGTTCTCTCAAGGGCAGTTCTCGAAAGAGCTCTCTCAGCCCCACCTACCTCACAGGGTGTCTGTTGTGGGGGAGGGGAAGGGAATGGAGATTGTAAGCCACTCTGAGGCTCCTTTGGGTACTGAAGGGTGGGGGTCTAAATCCAGTCTCTTCTACTATGCTGTGTAGACGATGCTGCACCAGACGTAGGGACATGAATGGCTTTTCTGTGGTACTGTTCCTGGGCATTTAGGGCTTTTGCTTTCCTTTTCTAGAGCAGTTTTCCTCATGTTATGAGAACTTGGCCCACTGTGGTGACTGTATGATTATGATCTATGCCAATAAAGGTTTTGAACTTGAAACTTGGCCCACTCGTCTTAGGCAGGCTTGGCACAGAAGGCTGTTCCACTTCTTCTCATTTATTTATTTTTATTTTATTAAATTTATGAATTGCCCGCCCTGCAAGCAGGCTCTTGACGATGTACAGTTTTAAAGTATTTAAAATACAATCGGTATAAAATGATCATAATAATCCAATAAACTAGCAGTCCAGATGGTGATATAGACCCCTTTTGCCGGCTACAGTGGTATCTGTGCAGCAGGGCAAGTGGGGGGTCACAGGAAAAAAACAGAAAGCGGGTGCCAGTCTTAACCATTACTGTCCTCCACTAAAAGCCCTCATGAAATGGCTCCTTTCAGAAGAAGGCTGCAATCTGATTCAAGCCTTTCTGGCAAACCAGCAGACATGGAGGGTAACACCCGTGAACACAGTGGGGCTCACTTACAATATAATTAGGCCATAAAAATCTATCATGTTGCTCTGTAACCCTATCCTAGGGTTGCCAAATCCAGGGTGGGAACTTCCTGGAAATTTGGGGTCAGAGTCAGGGGTTGGAGGGGTTTGGGGAGGGGTCTCAGCAGGATAAAATGCCTTAGAGTCTACCGTCCAAAGTAGCCATATCCTCCAGGGGAATTGATTTCTGTAGTTTGGAGATCAGTTGTAATTCCAGAAGATCCCCAGGCCCCACCTGGAGGTTGGCAATCTTCTATCTTCAAATCTTTACAGAACAAAGTCTGAGTCTAGTGGCACCTTGAAGACCAACAAAGTTTAATTCTGGTATAAGCTCTCATGCACACGAAAGCTGATACCCAGAATTAAACTTTGCTCGTCTTAAAGGTGCCACTGGACTCAGACTTTATTCTGTTGCTTCAGACCAGCATGGGCTCCCCACCTGAATCCATTCAGATCTTTATGTAAGCCTTGAAAGCAACATGCATACCTTACTGGTGGGGAGATTATTTATTTAGTTAGCGTATTTGTAGATGGCTTTTCAGCTATAACAGCTTTCAAGGCCGTTTGTAATTAAAAAAATGGACAATTAAAGGTACAGACGAGGTGGCAGGAGTTAGAACCTTCTCCTCTGCCCTCTGGATAATCTGGCACCACTAGCACTTTAAAGACCAACACGATTTTGGGGATATGAGCATTCAAGAGTCAAAGTCGTACCCAGAAGATACTGTTGGTCTCTAAGTTGACTACTGGACTCGAAGCTTGCCATTCACTGGAATAGTGGCACGGCCAGGAAAAATAGCTTTCTTTCTTTGGCCCTTATGCAGGTTCTTGAAGGTTTGTGTCCCTTCCACTCCATCCATCTTGTTTTTAAAAATGACATTCTCTCAGGCGCTCACCAGTTACCGCTCTCTACATTTGCGTCTTGATTTCCAACAGGTGACTTCAGGAAAAGCCATTTGTGCCTGGAATGCGGGAGAAGATTTGCTTACAGAGCGAATTTTCTCCTGCATCAGAAAGCCCACAGCCGAGAGAAGCCCTTTAAGTGTCTGTGGTGTGAGAAATATTTCTGTTGGAAAGCCGGCCTTGTGAGGCATCAGATGGTCCACATGAAAGGGAGACCTCATAAGTGCCTGGAATGTGGAAAATGCTTTCATTGGAAATCGCTGCTCTTGAGACACCAGGAAGTCCATGCTGGAGCAACGTGAGACAAGGCTTAAAACTGCCCAGAGCGTGGCAGATCTATACTGTGGAGCTTGGTCCTGGTGAGACATCTGTATGCGAGAGAGACCTTATCAGCATTTGGAATGTGGAAAATGTTACGCATGGAAAGACCATCTTTGGATGCACAAGAAAACACACATGGGAGAGAAGCCTTTCAAATGCTTGGGACTGTCAGAAGTTTTGCTTACCTCTCCCACCAGAAATCCCATATGAAAGAGAAATTCTATATGCAAAGGTTAACTTTCCTGGATTTTATCAGAAACCCCCAAAGCTCTATGTGAAATAGAACCTCCACTATTGGATCTTTGATGGGAACTCGCCCTCGTTTGTCTCCTACCATTCCTTGATAAAAAGATTGGTTACAACTGCCTGGCCTAGCTCTGGTTGTAAATAATGGCTTAGCTCTAGTTGTAAATAACTTTCACCTCAACACTTCCCACTCATCTCAATGGGAAATATTGAAATTACCCCATTGAGTACATAGGATATCGAAGGCCTTGGTTTTAGCTGGAGTGTATTATCTGAAGTCTTCAACGTTTGCTCTGTGCCATTTACTCAGCGGTTGTCACAGCAACCATGTCAAGGTAGCCTCCTTGTAATTCAGAGGGGAAAGAGATGAGGTTGAAGGCCATTGAGTTCATGGCTGAAGCCTGATTCCTACTGTGGCCTTCACAGACTGTACTGATAGCCGCTACCACTGCCCAGAATTTCTCAGTAGGTTGAACTGGGATTCTGAAGGTAGCTTTGACCTTTCCCCTCTCTGCTGTGGTATAGTGGTTAGTCTCAGGCCAGAACTGGAAAGACGTGGGTTGAAATTCCTACTTTACCATGAAGTTTGCTGGGTGACCTTGGACCAGTTGTTCTGCAGCTTAAACTACAACTTCTTGTGAGAATAACAAAGGGAAGGGAGAACTACCTTCATTGCTCTGGGCTCCTTAGGTGGAAAGTAGGATAAAAATGTACTTGACAGATTTTTTTTAAAGCGTGAACATGTTAGCACAGAAGCAAACAAACAAAAAGAAGGCTGTCATTGGGATGTGAGGAACCCGGGGGGGGAGGAGTTGTGATGTGCCCCCTTTGTGAGGTATCGGGAAGAGGGAAAGGGCATGCAGTCTGAATAGAGTTGTCCTCTTGAGAACGCCTCCCATTCTCTGGCTGTGTAGGAGACAATTGGCGGAACGGAACCCGTGGTTCATATGGAGCTGAATTTCCTAATCCTTTACAGTTGATTTCAGGACAGTTAAAAATATTTCTGATTTCGCTGTATTAATTTATACTTCAAGCTAAATCAAGTACTCCTTCCGAAAATGAGATAAAGTCACGGCCCTTAATGGTCAGGGACCTACGTACCTTCGGGACTGCCTCTCCTGGTATGCCCCCAGAAGAGTGTTGTGCTCTGTGGTTCAAAATCTATTGGTGGCCCCCAGCCCGAGAGACATCCAGCTGTCCTCGACCAGATGCCCTGGCTCCAACCTGGTGGAACTCTGCCAAATAAAATCTGTGCCCTGTGGGACCTGTTACAGTTCTGCAAGACCTGCAAGGCAGAGATGTTCTGCCAGGCATTTGGTTGAGGACAGCAATGATTCCATTCTGGTACTCCCCTCCCCGCTGCATTATTGGTTCTTTGTGCCATCTGTAGCTGTATTTTTGTTTGCTATTGGTTTAAACCTGATTTTAATTGATGTTTTATGACTGTGTTGTGCAGTGCTCTTAACCTGGTTTACTGGGGGTTAACTCGTTTTATTGGTGCTTTTATGATTATGTTGAACACTGTCCTGAGTCTGGTTCTCCGAGGGAGGGCGGTTGGGAAAATCTAAATAAATGATTGTGATACCAATATTTTTTTGTCATCATGATGTTTTGTGGGGCATCCAATTCACATAACAGGGTTATAACGTACATCCATAACCAAGAATTCAAAGAAATGTTATCACTACAGTGAGAACCTGGCACTAAACTTGTGTCTGGACTATATCACTTAGATTGAAGGTGGGGAAAATCATGTTACTGAATGTTCCTTCACATATACAGTTAAAAAAATTCCTGCATAAGAGAAACCATATGAATGAATGAGCATGACCCTTAACAGTCTGA